AAACCTGAACCGCTGGGGCAACCTGAACCGCTGGGCAGCCTGAACCGCCGCGGCAAACCTGAACAAATGTTGGAGGTATCGGAGCTAGATTCAGTAGGGGCATCTTTGATTCTCTTCAGCTCTGCCTTGAACGAGGAGCGATGCAATCGCATCAGCAGCAGCGGGCCAATCAGAGCTAACTCTCGGAGCCACGGCGGCACAGCGCTGGCCAGGTAGACCAAGAGAGAGAGCACCAGTAGAGAGCGAAGCAGCAAATGCGAGAAGAACTGCATCGGCTGAAAGAGGAGCTGTGGGGATGCCGCAGAGGGGGAAGCAGTAGAGGGTCGGAGCAGATGGGAAAGCAGCAGAGGGGGAGGAGCAAGGGGGAAGGAGCAGTAGGAAAAACGAGCAACATCAGCAGAGGTGGAGGAGGTGCATAAGCGGATGGAGGAGGAGGCGCATCAGCAGATGGAGGAGGAGCCATATGAGCAGCAGCCTCCCCAATGGGTAGGTGCTGATGTCTATGGCTGGTGTCAGCAGAAAACTGCACACTGTGTTGTGTGGTGGGCACATGGCCTCTGATCGCTTCAGATGGCAAAGTGCAGCTGGCTTGTGAAGAACTTTCCTGCTGAGGTATGCGATGCATCTGCTGACGCAGGTCACCCAACAGAAAGGCTTCAGACATCTGCATTGGGGAATCGACCAAGCATGAGGTTTCAACGCCCTTCAATTCCTGGGTAGGTGCTTCGACAAGAAATGAGGTTCCGTGATCCATCTCTCCACGCGGCAGAGGGAGCGGAGGTGGGAGAGTAGGAATGGGGGTAGTAGGAGTAGGAGGGAGAGTAGGAGGAAGAAGGGGAGTAGGGGGACGAACACGAGGGAGACTAAGAGGAAAAAGTAGGATAGAGTGGGGAAAGAAGAGGTGCTGTGAACAGTTGCGAGGCTGATGAGCCGCAGTGCGAGTGTGAGGACATGGCTGCTGCGCTTGAGATTTCAACCATCATCTCATCACTGGCTGCGTCTGCTGCTTCATCCTCCACATTGGCTTGGCTCATTGCTGTCACTTCTGTTCGAATCTGAAGATCAAGTGTAGCAGATGCACATGAATCACTAGAAGCTCCCTTGCACAAGCCCTCTCTGTCTGGGGCCATGGTTGAGTTCTGCACCGCCGACATCATGAAGCTTCTCTCACCCACGTTTAAATCCCTGTCACATTGTTGATGGTTTGACGTGAGCTGCTGACTTGATATGTGCTGTAGCTGAGGACACGATGTATGGTGCTGATGACAGTTTGAGTCCTGCTGATGGCAGCATGAGGTGCTGAGAAAACACCCATCTCGTTCTTCTAGAGCTTGCTGCATTTTCGTCGCTGTCCCATCCCAGCATTCGCAGCCACCACCGTGTCTCGTGTCAAGCCATCATCAGCAGTCTCCGTTGGCACGGTAGGCAAGGTGGGCACATGCATTGTTGGCCGGCAGTATTGTTGGCCCAGCAGGTATTGTTGGCCCAGCAGGTATTGTTGGCCCAGCAGGTATTGTTGGCCAGCAGGTATTGTTGGCACAGCAGCATTGTTGGCACAGCAGGCATTTTTGGCACAGCAGGTATCATCGCCTTTGCAGCCTCGTCCATGTCTCGTGTGAGCTGACGTACGTTGGACAGCTTCCTGCATGCATTAAGTCCGACAGGTAACATGGGGACATGGCACTGTGAGGCGACACCATGGGCAGCATGGAAAACGGTACCTGTCTAAGACGTGCGATTAAGGTGACACGGGAACCTGGATGCATCTAGATGCAACTAGGATGCATTCCGTTCTGTTGGCCATCTGTGGGAAAAATTATGGCGTCCGGAACATCATCTTACATTGAGAGGGAAGGCAACGGGGACATGTGAGAAGTGTGAAGGCAATGGATGCCGACTCACTGAACCCTACAATAGGTCAGCTGACACTTCTAAAACACACCTTCAGCGGCAAACTAACACACCACTCTGTAGCAAGGAGTTACTACCGAGTAGAAATCACCTCTTTAGCAGAATATAGCGGTTGCAGCACGCCTTGTGATTTCGTGTGGGCAGCAGACCCATGGATTTGACATGTAACCAATTGTGTGTGCCATGCTTTGCCACGTGGTCCAATAAGATCTTGTCTTCCTGCTCACGCCCAACAATAGAACACCCGATCCATGGCAATGTTCAAAACAACTCCCAAACTCAAAGTCTCGCAACATCCCAAAAATCCCAAGTCCCAACACGTTCTCCCCACAGCCTCCAGAGACCATCGCAACATTGTGGGCAGGGTGTAGCCACCCACAGATTACCAATATTAGTTCATACAGCGGGTCCACACCCTTGCCTCAGATGGGTTACGCACACCCTGGCCATACCCTCCCACAACCTGCCCGCACATTCTCACCACGGTCTAGCCACATCAACGCAAATGCCTACGTGCCAGTTTAGCACGGACCCCTTCAAAGCACCATCCGAATTCTACAGCCACGTGGACTCTCAGTATAATGCTCTCACACCGTCAGGAGTGCGTCAGCCCTGATCCGCATTAGGCTGGTGCGGCATGCGCCAAAAGAGTGGTACACTAATTTTTATATTATTCCTATTTGTACAACACACGTCCTAGAGGACTTCCAATCACATGTAATATGCAAAATACCATGCACCTCCAAAAAAAGAACCAGCCACAACGTCATCGGTCCCCCCGATTGCGGGTCACGTCCTGAAAACTAACCTACAACTGGAGGCTAGCACGACCTTCCCCCCTACAATAAAATGACTTGTGACGGCTATATTCCCCCCTCTTCACCATCGTCACAGCAGGCAGCAGGGGCGGCGACGCGGCGCTGGCCAGGCATAGGGGGTTCTACCTCCTCCCCAATGTACTCCTCCGGCAGGTTCGGCACCTCTGCCGGCGGTGGGAACTTGATAAAGATCTTGTACTTGTTCCCTTCGCTGAAGGTATAGGCCTGCACATCCTCATGCCACTTCGGCCCATCGGCCGCACCCCCCACCTCATGATCGCCAGCCGCATCCAGTTCCGCACAATCCTCCTCTCCCTCGCCACGTTTTTCTCGTTCGGCACCTCATTCTTCTGCAAGCCAGCTGCGCCTCTCTTCCAGTGGCGCACAGGGTACTCTGCCTGCAAAAACAAAACAATACCCCACAATAAATCAGAAGGGGGGCGGACGGGGGACGGGATAAGACAAACTAACGAGACACCATTTCGACTGCATCCAACACAACACTGCACAATGCGCTCATACCAAGGGGAAGAAAGTGCGTCCCCTAATCCTCCTCCATGCCGGCGCACGGCGCAGTGAACCGTCTCTGCCCTTGTCCGCCCGTCCCTGCCCTTGCCCGCCCGTCCCTGCCCTTGCCTTCCCGTCTCTGCCGTTGTCCGCCCTTGCCTGCCTGTCTCTGCCCTTGCCCACCGCCCCTGCCCTTGCCCGCCCGTCTATGCTATTGCCCCGCCCGTCCCTGCCCTTGCCTCCCCGTCCCTGCCCTTGCCTGCCCGTCTCTGCCCCTTGTCTGCCCGTCCCCACCCTTGCCTCCCTGTCTCTGCCCTTGTCCGCCCTTGCCTGCCCGTCTCTGCCCTTGCCCACCGTCCCTGCCCTTGCCGCCCGTCTATGCTATTGCCCGCCCATCCCTGCCCTTGCCTGCCCGTCTCTGCTATGCCCGCCCGTCCCTGCCCTTGCCTGCCCGTCCCTGCCATTGCCCGCCCGTCCCTGCCCTTGCCTTCCCGTCTCTGCCCTTGTCCGCCCTTGCCTGCCCGTCTCTGCCCTTGCCCGCCGCCCCTGCCCTTGCCCGCCCGTCTATGCTATTGCCCGCCCGTCCCTGCCCTTGCCTCCCCGTCCCTGCCCTTGCCTGCCTGTCTCTGCCCTTGTCTGCCCGTCCCCACCCTTGCCTCCCTGTCTCTGCCCTTGTCCGCCCTTGCCTGCCCGTCTCTGCCCTTGCCCACCGTCCCTGCCCTTGCCCGCCCATCTATGCTATTGCCCGCCCGTCCCTGCCCTTGCCTGCCCGTCTCTGCTATGCCCGCCCGTCCCTGCCCTTGCCTGCCCGTCCCTGCCCTTGCCTGCCCGTCTCTGCCCTTGCCCAGCCGTCCCTGCCCTTGCCTGCCCGTCTCTGCTATTGCCCGCCCATCCCTGCCCTTACCTCCCCGTCCCTGCCCTTGCCTGCCCGTCCCTGCCCTGGTCTGCCCGTCCCTGCCCTTGTCTGCCCGTCTCTGCCCTTGCCTGCCTGTCTCTGCCCTTGTCCGCCCTTGCCCGCCATCCCTGCCCTTGCCTGCCCTTGCCTGCCTGTCTCTGCCCTTGCCCGCCCGTCCCTGCCCTGGCCTGCCCATCCCTGCCCTTGCCTGCCCGTCTCTGCCCTTGTCTGCCCGTCCCTGCCCTTGCCTGCCTGTCTCTGCCCTTGCCCGCCCGTCCCTGCCCTTGCCTGCCTGTCTCTGCCCTTGCCCGCCCGTCCCTGCCCTTGCCTGCCCGTCCCAGCCCTTGCCTGCCCGTCCCTGCCGTTGCCTGCCCGTCTCTGCCCTTGTCCGCCCTTGCCTGCCCGTCTCTGCCCTTGCCCGCCGCCCCTGCCCTTGCCCGCCCGTCTATGCTATTGCCCGCCCGTCCCTGCCCTTGCCTCCCCGTCCCTGCCCTTGCCTGCCCGTCTCTGCCCTTGTCTGCCCGTCCCCGCCCTTGCCTCCCTGTCTCTGCCCTTGTCCGCCCTTGCATGCCCGTCTCTGCCCTTGCCCGCCGTCCCTGCCCTTGCCCGCCCGTCTATGCTATTGCCCGCCCGTCCTTGCCCTTGCCTGCCCGTCTCTGCTATTGCCCGCCCGTCCCTGCCCTTGCCTGCCCGTCCCAGCACTTGCCTGGCCGTCCCTGCCCTTGCCTGCCCGTCCCTGCCCTTGTCTGCCCGTCCCTGCCCTTGTCTGCCCGTCTCTGCCCTTGCCTGCCTGTCTCTGCCCTTGTCCGCCCTTGCCCGCCCGTCCCTGCCCTTGCCTGCCCTTGCCTGCCCGTCTCTGCCCTTGCCCGCCCGTCCCTGCCCTGGCCTGCCCGTCCCTGCCCTTGCCTGCCCGTCTCTGCCCTTGCCCGCCCGTCCCTGCCCTTGCCTGCCCATCTCTGCTATTGCCGGCCCGTCCCTGCCCTTGCCTGGCCGTCCCTGCCCTTGCCTGCCCGTCCCTGCCCTTGTCTGCCCGTCACTGCCCTTGTCTGCCCGTCTCTGCCCTTGCCTGCCTGTCTCTGCCCTTGTCCGCCCTTGCCCGCCCGTCCCTGCCCTTGCCTGCCCTTGCCTGCCCGTCTCTGCCCTTGCCCGCCCGTCCCTGCCCTGGCCTGCCCGTCCCTGCCCTTGCCTGCCCATCTCTGCCCTTGTCTGCCCGTCCCTGCCCTTGCCTGCCTGTCTCTGCCCTTGTCTGCCCTTGCCTGCCCGTCTCTGCCCTTGCCCGCCCGTCCCTACCCTTGCCTGCCCGTCCCAGCCCTTGCCTGCCCGTCCCTGCCCTTGCCTGCCCGTCTCTGCCCTCGTCCGCCCTTGCCTGCCCGTCTCTGCCCCTGCACGCCCGTCCCTGCACTTGCCTGCCCGTCTCTGCTATTGCCTGCCCGTCTCTGCCCTTGTCTGCCCGTCCCTGCCCTTGCCTGCCTGTCTCTGCCCTCGTCCGCCCTTGCCCGCCCGTCCTTGCCCTTGCCTGCCCGTCTCTGCCCTTGTCCGCCCTTGCCCGCCCGTCTCTGCCCTTGCCCGCCCGTCCCTGCCCTTGCCCGCCCGTCTATGCTATTGCCCGCCCGTCCCTGCCCTTGCCTCCCCGTCCCTGCCCTTGCCTGCCCGTCTCTGCCCTTGTCTGCCCGTCCCCGCCCTTGCCTCCCTGTCTCTGCCCTTGTCCGCCCTTGCCTGCCCGTCTCTGCCCTTGCCCGCCGTCCCTGCCCTTGCCCGCCCGTCTATGCTATTGCCCGCCCGTCCCTGCCCTTGCCTCCCCGTCCCTGCCCTTGCCTCCCCATCCCTGCCCTTGCCTGCCCGTCTCTGCTATTGCCCGCCCGTCCCTGCCCTTGCCTGCCCGTCCCAGCACTTGCCTGCCCGTCCTTGCCCTTGCCTGCCCGTCTCTGCCCTTGTCCGCCCTTGCCCGCCCGTCTCTGCCCTTGCCTGCCCGTCCCTGCCTGCCTGCCCTACCCTGCCCGAACCTGCCCGACCCTGCCCGACCCTGCCTCTGCAGCGAACCTGTCCGGCCCGTGACACACCACCACTGCCGTAGCCATGCCCGCGACTGGGCCTGCATGCCCGTCCCTGCCATCACCATGTCGACCGCGCCCTTACCTCACCGTGCCTGTGCACGTCTCCCTTCCAGTGGACATCCATCTCGTCTAGAACCCTATCCCGGCCGCCTAGCCTCCATTGAGGCACCACGCTCCAACCAAGTCGGCACCTTGCATATGCACCCACGACCCTCATTGTAGCCAACCCCAGCATATCCACTCACCCCATACAATGCAAACGCCATGTTGTACGGATACACGACCAGCACAGTGCCCGTCAGATGGCGGGCGTATGCGACGGCCATGAACACCTCGAACACCTCCAGGGCAAACGGCATACCCTTCTCGTCACAGTGCCAAGTGAGCGAGCCGAACGGCCCTGACAGAGGTGTGGGTTGGGGGGGTGGGGAGGATGCGGGAGAGGGGGGGGGGGTGAGTTGAAAGAGGGGCAGATCCAGCGCTTGTGCACAAAACAATTGAGTGGCATGGACCAGCTTTGGCACCACACGCGGAACCCAAGTTCCAGCACGACATACCAGGGGGAAAGTCCTTGCACGCTGACTGCGGGGTGCGATCCTTAGCACCCACGACTTCCTCCCATGGAACCCCCTCTGGCATGTCCCGCACAACACGTGGAATACCCATGTAGCGGTACATGAGCGTCTTGCCGAGCCGAGTTATTGCACCACGAAGGCGGCCGCTCACACATGACCATTGTGTCTGGTGATCGGTCGCATTGCTGAGCACGAGAACCAGATTCGCCTCGTGGTGTTGCATGACCTTCTGGAGAAAAACAGTCCAGTAAGCAACCACCTGAGGCAAGGGCCACATGCTCAGCTCTGCATCATTCCCCTTGATCGGAGAGAAGATGCACCTGTAATAGACAGCCACCCATGGCTTCTGTGGGGGCAAAATCAGAACAACCATGAGAACCCAGGGACAGAAACAGTACACGTACACAGGGGTGGAGATTGACGACACAGAGAGGAACACAGGATCATGAGGACGGCCAGAGTCCGCACTGGTCCCCAGCGCAGCACCATGGCTACAACCCAGCAACACACCACACTAAGGACAGCATGCCCTGCAAGCAGAGCGCGTGCATGCGACAACACACCAGCAACATCACCAGCCCTACTCTATAACCCACCCGTTCGCCCTGCTCACTAATAAAATACGCGCCTACCGACAGGCTCTTGGCACTTGGAATCGAATTGGCAGCACGCCTGAGTTCCGAAGCCCATGAATTGTCGTCCTGAGCACTTGGTCCGACAACAGGCGCCGGAGTGGTGGCTACTGCCTGGGTGGGTTGACCGTTGGAGGCTAAGGTCTCTTGCACAGCAGCCAGCTGTTCGCCCTGACTCTTCTGCAGCCGAACGAGCTGTTTGACCACCACGGTGAGTTCCTTTGTGGCCTGCGTGGACTCTGACACCAAACGCTGCATCTCGCTCGACTGGCAAAGCACCATCCTCATGGCGGATGAGAAGTCAGCCTGCCCGCCACCACTCCACGGGAAGTTGAGCACGCCTGGTTTGCACCCCGCAGCTCCCGGCTGGCCCGTAGAGGCAACCCCAAGCTGGTTGAGACGGAGTGTTCGCTCTGCCGGAAGGGAGGTTGCGATACACAATAAATTTACTAATGCTTGGGCTTCCGTGGCAATATACTGAATTAGAATTACTAGTCGTAAGATATTATGGTTACGACCCCACGAACATACAACAGATGGCTTGCAAACAATGGCCTGGGACAGACATAGCAAACCAAGAAGGGTGCTGATTAGAGCCAGGAGAGGCGTACATTAGTAAGGGGGGGAACGGCAGAGAAGGAAAAGTGACAAGCTCACGACTGGATTCCCCTTCAACGTTGTGGGCTGCAGCAGCAACGTGGGAGCCAAGGCCCGTTCCACCCCGGCCTGCACCATGCCCCCTCCCCTGACCACGCCCTGGTCCAAAAGCAGAGTGGGCGTTAGCTAGACCGGAAGAATCGCACAATGGGGGTGAATGCAACATGATAGGGGGAAGGTCGCTAACCAGCATTGTATGGCCACCATGATATCGTTCTGTCATGCGCACTATGGAGAAGAGCAGAGGGCATGCTACGACAAGAGCTGCATGCCTAGAACAGCTCACCTCCTCCAGCAAGCGACGCGCCACTATTCTTCCCTGCAGCCCGGCCTGTGGGACGGGATGGCTGCCTGCGCCCAACATCGCCAGGCGCCTGCCCCGTGTCGTCTCCCCCCCCATCATGTCCATTAATCTCTGCCAGGGGAAGCACAAGGGCCACCAACTTTGCTTCATGTGAGAAGCAACAATGAGTGTCGCATCGGACATGTAGTTGCCTCACGCATGACCGCGTCCCAATCGATCTAATAGCACCCATCTACACATTCGAGGATCATGGTGAGGTTGCTAAGGTGGGGAGGTGGGAAGGAAACAGGTCAACCTTCACTGTCATCCTCCTCCCCCACCCCCTCCTCCTCCACCTCCTCCTCCCGTTCCTCCTCCTCGTCGTCGTCGTCCTCCTCCTCCCCCTCATCCTCCTCTTCCTCCTCCCCCTCCTCCTCCCCCTTCTCCTCCTCCTCCGCCCTGCCACTTTGCTTTCGGGGTTGCCTCTCCTCGCGCCTCGCCAGCTTTCTCAGCGCCTTATGCATCAGGCGTAAATTCCTGTCAGACAACTCCACACCCTGACCAGCAGAATCCCGTCCCTGCCTGTTCCTCTTGGACGGCCTGTCATTTGTGTGCCATTGTTTCCCGGGATAGCGCTGGCTAGGGAACCGTATTCGGCCACTGGGAGTATGTTCACTGCCGGTTCCCAGCAGTTCGCTGAAGTCGTTGTCCATGTTCCACCCAGATTACAAGTTATGGCGCCTTGCCACGCTATAACACCCACCACTCGTCCAAAGATTCGGAACTCGAGTGAAGGGAATAAAGAACACGTTACAGTGGAATTATACCGCGCCAAAACCATGCGACTGCCCACCAGTACCCTAGTGTTTCCCTGCCTTACCAAGCTGCAAGTCGCGTAGCACCGACTTTCGAAGTATACCCGTGTGATCGAGGGGACGAACACGCAGGCGAAAGGTGTTCGACACGCTGCCCAGAGCGAAATCCCTTTTACGATGTGACGGAGCACTACACGAATTAGTTGCGACAGCCTATCCTCGACGGCGCACCGAACCTGTGGCTGACTGCCCGTACGCGGTAGGCAAAAAATGTAATATCGGATCATTGGTACGCGGTAGACATGATGTCTCTACACCTGGCTACTACCGAAAGAATCGGTCTCTGGGGAGAAACGATCAGCACCGACAAACGCCACAGACCATTACAGTCGGTGCGCAGCCGCTGATGCACGACGAAGGCGGAAGCTGCGCTGTGCTCTCGCTGGCAGTCACGCCTGGCCACTGCTCCGCCCGCAGCATAGCCAACTCCAACACGTTTTGAGCATGTTCCTGCGAGGGTTATGACCACCTCTTCTCGTCGTTCCCAGCTCTTTGATTAGGTTCTGTTGTCGCCTGGTCGAATTTGGAGTATCCGAACCAACATCCTGGGTTTCAAGGGTAGATATGCACACCACAAAATAAGTTAAGCACCTCCTTTACAGCGTTGTAGATGGAACTAGTCAGTCATATTCCCTAGAATAAATAGAACAAACTCGAGAGCACGCTGCCCCATAGCCAGAATCTCATGAAGATGCCTTCAAACGAGCTTCCCACCAACTGCCTGGATGAAAGTAAGTGCTACGTACTTACCCTAAAAACAGGGTAAATAGGAGCGATACTCAAATCTGATGGCACTCTGGAAACAGCTGAGGGCGTGGTACTTTGGGCGAAGTGACTTTCCGAACAGGTCAGAAAAGGTTATGCGTGGTACAGTAATGCTTAGAATGGTGCAGGGTGGTGTTGAAACGCCAGTGTCACAGGCCCTGTCGCACTTGAAAATTCACGCGAACACATGCTGACGCCTGCACCACCTAGTTCAGTATCTTGTGCGTTATAGGAGCATGCCGCTGCGCAACGATCAACACGGAGTACAGTTCACTGTGTTTACTAGCTCTATTAGTAAAAACCCCATTTGCAGCACAGCGCTAAACAATTTACAAGGGTCAAAGTAATCAGAAATCCACAAACACTTCAGTACTTATCTCAATCAGTCTAAGCATCAGCAATTGGGAAAAGAACTCAAACACACTATTGATAGCTGTGGTCGTTATGAGAAGTTTCATGCACTCATTCATACAAATAACGGAACAACCGGCGGAGCTTCTCTCTCTCCAAGGTTGGCAGCATTTCCGCAGTCAACGCAAACCACACGTCTACACGGCCGTAAGGATCCTTTGCCACTCTAGTATCTGCACAAGAGGTTCTCAACAGTGTTACTAGATAGCAGATTGCAGATAATGTTCCAATGTGCGGAAACCATAAACATGCATCACCCCTCACCCGGTACATTCTCCTCGTCGCTTTGATGGTGTTGAGTAGGGCTCGAAGGCTCCATGACCCTCGCCTTCCATCCGGCGTCCTCTGCAGCTCCCGGCTGGCGCCTCTTGCGTGCCGCATGCCCACTTGGTCCCGCGACTGGGTCTACGCTGTCATGTAACTCGCCCTTGTATGCGCGGAGCTCGCCTGACCGTTTGAGCCTCCTCCGCTCCTGCCACATTTCGGGTGTCAGTCGCATGCCAAACATGCGCAAGCAATCTAGTAAATGATTCGATAAGTGGCCACCACTGAGCTGTGAAGTCGGCGTGGTAGAAATTACCTCGGCTTCCTCGCCATTATCCACCGGCTGCGTCTCGTCGTAGGGCACTGCGGACTCGGTAGACTTAGGCCTCACGGGTTCCATGACCTTACACGATGGTTGTGCTATTCCGTTCAAACTAAATTGCAATAAGCGCAATACAATGTGAATCTGTCAGGGAATACGTATACGGCCGAGATGGCAGTGCAGAAAGTCGCCTTCGCGTGCTGCAAGGCCATGCCCTGCTCTATACGCAACGAGCTGCACACACCCGAAATTTATAGGAACGAGGACACACGTGTTTGGAACAGATGAGCTTAGCCCGACCAGAAGCGTGGCTTCACGTGTTGCCATGTCCGTATCTCGGTTTGCCAATCTAGTCTACACGAGGCACTTCGATGGGGATGACGAATGCACTGCTGCCTACACAAGCCAATGGAACCAATGGTTTAGAAGTTATGAGATGCTGTCGTTGAATTACAGGCCACGCGAGTGTCTTGGTGTGACGGCGGTGGTTTCCAACCCTCCGACCTCGTTCCCCTGTGTAGGGCAGGAGGGGCTCTGAAGGCCCTATTTTAATTCGTTGCGTGTCAGTTATTGTCTCGTATGTATTGCGCTCAGGCGGTGGAGCGCGACGTACCATAGTTCCCAAGACACACTGCGGTCCTGTTACCCTGTCCAATTTCAGACAGGCTCCTTGAATGACCCGTCACAAATAAATGCGGCACGAAGAAACAGACCCAGAGGTTGCAGGCCGGCGTGCAAAATTACAGTGCGAGTGTCGGGCAATTGTCCGGTGTTGCTTCTCGTCTTTCTGGTAGAAGTTCATACGGGTGGCAACATTTTTGTACGTCACAACGTTCTCCGAACACTGTGCAAGCTAGCTGGGGTCACCAGTGGGAGTGTCCATGCGAGACACGTCACCACACTGCCTAGGCGCATCAAGCAGGAGGGATAGTTGTCTTCGCATCTCCTCCGCATTTGTCGCTAAATCACCCACACTTACGCACTCTCGTTTAGGCTACGTAAACGACTTCCAAGCGCATCATAAAAGCGGTCGTGTTTAAGAAATGAGCAAGTACAGGCGTGGTTTTGAGAGAGTATGCAGATCCGTCATGTTCCTTAGCGCATTCATTCTCTCGCTGGTCTTTACATGCGTCGCTACTTGCGGACGCTGTGATCGTCCGTTTGACCGCGCGTCCGCCGCGAGGAACCATTCCTCTCGCGACGAAGTATGTAGGGATAGGCCCGTCCCAGTTCCAGAGATCGCTACTCGTCCAGACTGCACTAATGGATCTCCATCTCACGCACACCAGCACGTAGCCCCGCAGCCTACACCGGTGGTCGAAGGGGTATCGTCACCACTATCGGCTGAGTCAGCGCCAGGCGTTCCGCATGGCACACCAGCAGCTGCCGAGGGGGATGACGCAGACCTGCCATCGGAGCCGCTCAACCCCGATACTTTGAACGAGTTGGACACCAAGAAGGAAGTATACCGGTTCATAAAGTCCGTGCGCAATGGCGTCGGCTTGTCAAAACAAGAAACGAAGGATTTTTTTCCGCCTGATTAACGACCCACGGTTCGATCGTGCTGCAGTGTCTGACTGGCATGGTCTCGGGGACGTTGACAGGTACGGCAGCAGCGTCCAGGGGGGTCATCTTGGCACGTGGCACAAGGTAATGGTTCAGGTTCCCGGCATGAGCGAACCAATGGAGCTCGAATTTTGCGACACCCTCGAGGTACGAGACCTTTTTGGTCGCATGATACAGCTCGAATATGTCTTGGCTATGGTAATTGGCTTTGACTCACACATAGCGATCGTGTAAACCAGGCTATGCGGACCCTGTTTGCGGACCCTGAGAATCGAGAGGGGTTCAAGCTTAAGCCAGAGCCGGAGTACGATGCGGAAGGGCGGCGTCAGTACGGGCGACCAGAAAGCGCACTTTGGTGGGAGGCTGCACAGGTGAGGTGCATTGGTGTTTGCCGAACCTTGACTGCTCAGCCTAGGAGTGCAAGTCGTCGTCTGGTGCACGACTTAGTCTCTCATGCTTTTTGCGCAAACCTGTTTGGCAGGCGAGCCTCCCGAGCCAAGACGACGTTGTTGCCGCCCTCATCGCCTCAAGCGATGTTACGCATCTCAGTCATAATGGTCGGCAGAAGGTGTGGCCTTTGCAGATGACCCTTGCCAACATCCCGAGGGAACAGAGGTGGCGGATGAGCTCGCGGGCGCTTGTTGCTCTGCTACCAATGCCGGATGGAGATGTGTCTGCTGCTGTGAAGACTGCTCTGTTTCAGCGTTGTATGGACATTGTTTTCAAGCCGATCCTTGACGCCTCTTTTTCGTAAGTCGGAAACAGGCCCCTAACAGCCAAGAGGTTCCCTGCACATGCATCTTGTTGATCCGCCTTGACACAACCCTGTCCTACTCTTTATTTCCCGTGCAGAAGCACAACGGTGCGGGATCCGTCTGGTGAGAGCCACGTTGCCTACCCCCTCATGTTTGCCTATCCGTGTGATTATCCTGAGGGCAGCCGTGTCACCAGCACAATGCAACAGCAGTCCGAGATGCCTTGTTCAATGTGCGAGGTGCCGAGACGGTCATTGGATGTCATGGGTCGCTCTTTCCCAAAGCGGACGATGGAAAGTCAGGCAGCTCTTCTCGGTGACAGTGACAGGGCTGCCAAAAAGGGCACCCACCCGGTCCCGGTATGTGGATGTCCTCTCCCCCTCCCCCCCCACCCCTGCCTCCTCTTGTGTGCTCTGCTGCCGTTCAACCAATCATGCTGTAGTTGTGGAACTGGTTGTAATTTTTATGCATCATGACCCTCTATTTGAGTCTCGTTCCAGTGCTTCCTCTGGAAATGGAACTTCGCCGACACCGATTGGGGTAACCCCTACATGTGCGTTCCGCCCGACGTGCTTCATGCTGTTGACATCGGGGTCTGGAAGCACATTATGGACCAGCTGCGGCAAAAACACAAGCGCGGTC